TTGTGATTTTGATGGGTTTACCTTTGTATGTTATTTGTTTTTTCTCTCTTACAGCCTTCAATATTCTTTCCCTAGTTTCTGAACTTGTTGTTTTAAAAAAATATGGAATGCTTCACTAATTTGCGGAACGCTTCACGAATTTGCATGTCATCCTTGCGCAGGGGCCATGCTAATCTTCTCTGTATCGTTCCAATTTTAGTATATGTGCTGCTGAAGCGAGCACTGTAAGATAGTTCTTAAAAATTACTCTCACCCTGCCTGCCTAATGGAAGAAAGGCATGGCTTCCTTGGAAAAGAAATAAGAGGGAAATAATGTCACCCACTTATTTGAGTCTTTTCCTAAGCAATATTTGATATTTTCAGTGCAGACTTTACCCATCTTTCATTCAATTTACTCAGAGGTACTTATGATACTATTATGTATGACATTTGAGTTCTTTTTCATTTTCTAATTGTGGTGAGGATAGCTTTGGTTTTCAGCAGTTTGACTGTTAGATGTCTACACGTTCTTTGTTTTATTATCCATGTCTGAGGGTCTCTCAGCCTTTTTTTTGTGGTATTGGGGATTGAACTAAGGGCCTTGTGTTTGCTGGGCAGGCACCCTGCTCCTACCATGCCCCAGTCTACGTTGTTTAGATCTGTGGATGAATGTTTGTCATCAGATTTAGAATTTTTAAAAAATTTTTTTGGTAGTACTGGGGTTTGAACTCAGGACCTTACACTTGCTGGGCAGGCGCAATACCTCATGAGCTTTTGCAAGATGCATTGTGTTACAGCACATATCACACCTTCATATTTTCATTACATTTTCTTTATTCATTCATCTGTGGGGGTTTTTTGGCTGTATGGTGGGGTTTGAACTTAGGGTCTTGCACTTGCTAGACAACCACTTTTACCATTTGAGCTACGCCTCAGCCCTTTTTTGCTTTAGTTATTTTTCAGATAGGGTGTCATGGGCCATTCTCAAATCTTGATCCTCCTACCTATAGCCCCCAAATAGCTGGGAGTACACATACATGCCATCATGCTCAGCTTGTTCTTTGAGATAGGGTCTTTTCCTGACCTTGTATTGAACCACCAATGATCCTCCTATCTTTACCTCCCAAGCAGCTGCAATTATAGATGTGAGATATGGTGCCTGGCTCCATTTATGTATTGATGAACTGTTGGGTTGTTTCCATCTTCATGCTATTGTGAATAGTGGTGCAATGAACATTAGTGTTACAAGTGTCTGTTTGAGTCTCTGTTTTGAATTGTTTTGAGTGTATACATGGGAGAAGAATTGTTGGTTTATATGATTATTCTGTTTAATTTTTTTTTTTGGCAGAGCTATGGTTTGAACTCCAGGCCTCAGTCTTACTAGGCAGGTACTCTTACTGCTCAAGCCACTCTTGACAGACCTCTGTTTAATTTTTTGAGGAAATTCCAAGCTGTGTTCCACAGTGGGTACACCATTTTACATTCCCACCAGTCATGTGCAAGTGTTCCAGTGTGTCCACGTCAGTTGTCCCCACACTCTTTGTTAAGGAGACGTCTTCACTGGCTTTGTGACTCTGGAATAGTAGTTCAGGGCTCCTCGTGTGCTACGTACTCAGTGAATGCTGCAGACAGCAACATTTTTATGGATGTACTTCCTAAAAAGGATTGCTTTATGGCATATTTGACGTTTTCATTTGAAAATCTGAAAAGAGCTGATGAATCAAAATGATAGTTTTAAAACTCTTTATCAATGAGAAAATGTGTGCTGTTTTCCAGAGCAAATCTTTCCGAACTTGGGCAAGTTCCAGTGCCTGAAAGAACTGTCTGTGAAGCTAGATGACAAACCACATGTATTTTCTGTCATTCCTGAAGAATTCCCAAACCTCCACCACATGGAGAAATTATCGTTCCAAATTTTAGCTGAGTGGGATTCCTCCAAACTAGGTGAGGACGGAATTTTGATTTACTTGTTTTTGCATCAGGTGGAAAAGTCCTTGGCTAATGGTTTATTTAACAGTTAAAACTTCTGTGGGTCTGAGGGTGTTGCCAGTACCCATGGGCAAATTGTGGGGACCTCACTCTTTCTCACTAAGAAAGCAGGGACTATTTGTAATCATTGCATCTTTACAATTTTCATTTTTTTTCCATGGGACTGGGGTTTGAATTCAGGGCTTCACACTTGTAAAGATGGTGCTCTACCATTTGTGCCATGCCAGCAGCCCAAAGGTGATGGGGGTGACTAATTCTGCTGGATTTTTTTTTT